AAAGACGGATGACCATGTCTTTATTGCTAAATAGATGAAAACAGTACACTATATATGGAGATGCTCAACTGTAAAAGTTTTTATCGAGTTGAATTCTACTTAAAAGGAAAATAAAAATCTAAAATTCTCATTTTCAATCTTCATGCCACATCATCTATCAGCAGCACATCTCTATCTGCCAATCAAACTCTAACACTAACTCACTTAATTTTTATATAAAACCATCTACTGACCACTTCATCTCCATAAAAGCCTAGCATTTTCTAGCAAATTCTAGTTTCCAATTTCAATTCCTTTCTAGGGTTTATAGTAAAATTCAACTGGCAGAGCCTCCACTAAGGGAGGTAGAGGGAGGGTCAATGCATGGATCGAAAATCCTATGCCAATCTAGTAAGAATTGTATTGAATTCCCTGTAGGCAGAATCGCTGATTTCTCAATTTTGGAAAGTATGCTAAGCGTGTCAATTTTGTGCCCTGGTCTTTCTCTCCACCGTCCCAGATGGATAACTCACATGTATAGGCTACAAAGCAGAATAGTTGTTGGATTGAGCTCTATATAAAGAAAATGTAATTCACAATTAGACATATATAGTAAAAATAAAAAATCACAGGCCTATTGTTCTCTATATAGTATCACTGAGCCATTAAAATGATGAACACCTGATCCTCATTGGTCTCCTCATTCTCCTCCGCTTCCTTATCCAACCTTCTGCTCATTACTGTCAATAACAATCTTAATCACTTTCTAACCCATGCAGAAAGCTCAAGCCCTATGTTCAGTCAATTTTTGGGTACATTGATGGCATAGTGAAACCACCTCTGACGAAAGTTGATTCCCCCCATCCCATTTCTAATTCTATCTTCCAGATTCCAAACCCTCAATACGAGGCAGTGGTCTGGATTCTTTTATCCTTCCACCCATAAATGCCTTACTCATTGAAAATTTCCTCACTCAGGTCATGACCTACACTATCTCTTAAGAAGTATCGCTTGCTCTCAAATGAAATTTCTCCTCATTTTCCCTAACTCAAAACTGTTCAAATCCACACTAGCTCGTCAACGCTAGGAAAGACGCTATGTCTGCCAATGACTATTTCCTTTGTATCAGCCGCATAGCTAATGAGCATTACTAACAACAAATTAGATAACCACAAATTCACAGTAGAGTTGCACAATGAAAATACAATAACCACTGATAAGTGTGTTTTTACGCACTTATTTAGCTTACAAACATGACTTAAACATGAACAAAGTAGTTGAATTGTGACTAAATCTCGTTAAATTCATGCAATGTAGGTGTTTCTATGGAAAAGATGGAATTCAAAAGAAAAGAGTCGAAAAATGACCAAAACGGAACAAAGCGATAGTTCGGGGACCAAAGGTGCAATTATTGGGAAGTTGAGCTAAAGTATAGAACGAGAATGAAAATATGCCAAGTATGAGATTGACCAAAACATGCACTTTCGCAATTAGTGGCCAATGATTGTGTGAGTGTTGATAACCTATTTCTTACATTCAAGAGAAGTGGAATAGGTTCGATAAGGTGTAAATTAACATAGGGTCCGATAGGGAATACAGATATACACTTATGCTTTATGCAATTCTTTAATTGTTCACAAAACCACATGCATTCTTGTATATTTGTATCATCCATAGAGATATAGGCTGGTGGTGTACAAGAATAGGTCTAATATATATCGAGAGAATATATTGGATAGAATTAGGAACATTGAATTGACAAATTTCCATTGGGTCATTAATTTTATGAAATTAGGGTTTTCATAACTTCAATTGGGGATTCGTGATCTTAGTGACTTTATTTTGATTCATTTCCATAAATTAGCTTTTGAATTTGCATAATTTCATTTATTTGAGTGTTTGAGTCCTTTAATTAGAGAAATTTCGAAATTAGGGTTTCTAATTAAGAAATTAGGGGTTTTAATAGAAATTAGGGTTTTTAATTGAAATTAGGGCTTTTTGCATTTGAACCATATTTTCACTCAATTAGATTCGGTTAAGGTTAGATTATATAGAATTGAACTACTCAATCTCTGAGAGACGATATTCGAACTTTTAAAAATCCACTTTATTACTTGTTATGAACCGTACACTTGTAGTAGTTTTAAATCGAAAGAATTATTTCGCAAACAAGTTTTTGGCGTCGTTGTCGGGGATTGAGTGTTCGTTTAATTTTATTCAATTTAGCACTAACTCAAACTTTTTTATTTTTAATTTTCTTTTAATTCATTTTATTTTATTGCTATTTAGTTTTATTACATAAGTGCATATTTTAGTTACTTTAAGTGTTTAAATCGAATTCTATTGCAGAAGTGCATGCTAAGATCTGCTGAAAGAGATCTACTCCCAGCCGACCCAGAGATCGAACAAAGCTTCAGAAGAAGGTAGAGAGAAAACAGAGCAGCGAGAAATCAGATTGAGAACGTACAACACAATCCTGTTGTACAAGCCAATGAAAGAGGGGAAGAAGACGAAGGAAACATGCTCGTTGGAGAGTTCATGACCCCTCAAATCATTCAAAGCCAGTCCAGCATTGTATATCCACCGTTCGGGCAACAAAATTTCCAGTTGAAGACAAATGTTACAACTGTTTCAGAACGGACATAAGTTTTATGGAAGAATTGAAGAGAATCCGTACACGCACGTCTCGCGTTTCTTAGAGATGTATCAGCACTTCAGATATCAAGGAATCTCTGACGACGCCATAAGATTAAGACTATTTCCACATACTTTGTGGGACAAGGCGATTGAATGGCTTGATTCTCAGCCGATAGCCAGCATTACTACCTAGAATGACCTATCTCAGAAGTTCTGTACTAAGTTCTTCCCACCGGCCAAGATCGCAAAGCTAAAGCACGACATATCTATCTTCAGGCAAGGTGAATCTGAGAATTTTGATGAGGTTTGGAATAGATTCAAAAATCTACTAAGGATGTGTCCACACCACGGGATAAACAAGGGACTTCAGGTCCAATATTTCTATGCAGGGCTACTTCCAGCTTTCAAGAGCATGGTCGACTTTTCAGCTAATGGGTCATTGTTCACAAAAATAATTGATGAAGCATTGAAGTTATATGAGATAATGGCTACAACCGCAGCAATGTGGACCATGGAACGAGCAGTACCGAAGAAGACATCAGGAGTTTATGAAGTGTATGTATATTCAGCGTTATCCGCTAAGATTGATTCCTTATTTCATAAGGCGGAAAACATTACCCAGTCAGCTAACGCAGCGTAGACAAAGAAGGCAAATTGTGAGGAATGTGGAGCTGAGCATGTGACAACAAAATGCCCAATTTTGACACAAGGAAAAGAGCAAGCAAATTTTGCTCAATGGGGCCAACACTAGCAAAATAACGTGTATGGAGAGACCTTCAACCTAAGCTAGAAAAAGCACCTCAACTTTTCTTGGAGCAACCAAAATCAGAATAGGCCACAGGGGCAATATCAACAGCAAGAGAAGAAGCCTCAATTGGAAGAACTGTTCGGCAAATTCATGGAACAGACCAACCAATATATGGAGGCGAACAACCAATTCATGAAGAAGACAGAAGCCACTCTTCAGGACCAGAATGCAGCCATTAAGAATTTGGAAACTCAGATGGGACAGATGGCAATTGCATTAACAGGTAGAGCACCAGGCAGCCTGCCAAGTAACACAAAAGTCAATCCGAAAGAGCATGCAAAGGCTATAACAATGAGAAGTGGAGTGGAATTACCTGAGAGACAAGTGAATAATCCCGTGACAAATAGAGAAGAGATGTCTCCTGAAGTAGAAGAGATTTTGGAGCAAGAAGAACAGACAAAAGAGCCAACACCGAGAGCGAATAAAGAAAACTTAAGGGATAAAGAAACTGTAGCTGTGAACCCATATGAGCCACCCATACCATTCCCCAAAGGCTGAAGAAGCAAAAGATGGAACAACAATACAAGAAGTTTCTCGAAGTCTTCAAGAAGCTCCATATCAACATCCCATTCGCTGAAGCACTGGTTCAGATGCCTAGCTATGCAAAATTCCTGAAAGACATCCTATCAAACAAAAGGAAGCTAGGAGATCATGAGACAGTTATGCTAACAGAGGAGTGCAGTGCCAGGATTCAGAGAAAGCTCCCGCCAAAACTGAAAGATCCAGGGAGTTTCACTGTCCCTTGTACCATTGGTGAATTTTATTTTGATAAAGTTTTATGTGATCTTGGTGTAAGTATTAATTTAATGCCATTGTCTATTTTCAGGAAATTAGGATTGGGAGAAGCTAAAGCTACCATGGTGACCTTACAGCTGGCTGACAAATCATTACACATCCACGAGGAATAATTGAAGACGTATTGGTTAAAGTGGAGAAGTTCATATTTCCAGCAGATTTTCTGATTCTGGATATGGAAGAAGATAAAGATATTCCTTTAATACTGGGCAGACCATTCTTGGCCACAGGTAGAGCTTTGATCGACGTTCAGAATGGGCAATTGATACTGAGATTGGGAGAAGAACATGTTTCATTCAATGTCTTCAAGGCTATGAAACTGCCAATAGAGACTGACAGATGTTTGAAGGTTGACATGATTGATAAAATGATTGAAGAGTCATTTACACTGCAAAATCCATCAGATGCATTGGAGGCCTACATTGCATATTCTAAATCCACAAATTCTGATTCTGTGAACATAGAAATGTGTGCAAGATTTTTGGAGTCCAACCCACCTTACACACGGAGACGATACTTTGAGGAGCTTGGGACAGGACCTGAGAAATCATAGCCATCTATTCTGAAGCCACCAAAGTTGGAACTTAAGCAGCTGCCCCCACACTTAAGATATGCATATTTGGGGGAGTCTAATACACTTTCAGTGATAATTTCAAACATGGTTAGTGAAGTGGAGGAGGAAAAACTACTTAGGGTGCTTCGAGATAACAAACAAGCAATTGGGTAGACCATAGCTGATATCAAAGGGATCAGTCCTTCCTTATGTATGCATAAAATTCTCATGGAGGAGAAGTTTCGACCAACAGTTGAAAGTCAAAGGAGGCTAAACCCAAACATGAAGGAGGTAGTAAGAGCTGAGGTGATCAAACTTCTAGATGCTGGAATAATCTACCCGATATTAGAAAGTAAATGGACTAGTCCAGTGCAAGTTATGCCCAAGAAAGGAGGAATTACAGTGGTTCAGAATGAAAAGAATGAGTTGATTTCTACAAGGACGGTAACAGGGTGGAGAGTTTGCATTGATTACCGCAAACTAAATACCGCTACAAGGAAAGATCACTTCCCTCTTCCGTTTATAGATTAGATGTTGGAGAGATTGGCAGGCTATTCCCACTGCTATTTCCTAGATGGGTATTCAGGTTATAATCAGATATCAGTGGCACCGGATGATCAGGAGAAGACGACATTCACATGCGCCTATGGTACCTTTGCATACCGAAGAATGCCATTTGGACTTTGCAACGCTCCTGCCACATTTTAGCGATGCATGATGGCAATTTTCTCAGATATGGTAGAGAAATTTATTGAAATCTTTATGGATGACTTCTCAATCTTTGGGACCTCATTTGATGAGTGTTTAGATCACTTAAACTTGGTTTTACAAGGATGCAGAGAAACGAACTTAGTATTGAACTGGGAGAAATGTCATTTCATGGTTCAAGAGGGAATAGTCTTGGGACATAGAGTATCGGCAAAGGGGATAGGGGTGGACAAGATGAAAATTTAGGTTATTGAGAAATTACCACCACCTACATCAGTAAAAGGAGTTCGAAACTTCCTTGGGCGTGCAGGGTTTTACAAGAGGTTTATAAAGGACTTCTCCAAAATCACCAAGCCTCTGTGCAACCTACTAATGAAAGAGGTATCTTTTGAGTTTAATGAGGAATGTTTGATAGCGTTCAATACTTTGAAGGAAAAACTCACAACAGCGCCTGTGATTGTGTCACCTGATTAGGATTTGCCCTTTGAGCTAATGTGCGATGCGAGTGATCATGCAGTTGGTGCGGTATTGGGACAAAGAAAGAATAAAATCTTTCATGTGATATACTATGCAAGTAGAACTTTGAACGACGCCCAAATCAACTATGCGACGACCGAGAAGGAATTGCTAGCTGTGGTTTATGCATTCGACAAGTTCAGATCGTATCTTGTTGGGTCTAAGGTCATCGTCTACACAGATCATGCTGCTCTGAAGTATCTTATGACAGAGAAGGATGCTAAGCTGAGATTGATCCGCTGGATATTGTAGTTGCAAGAGTTCGATATTGAGATCAAGGATAAGAAGGGCAGTGAAAATGTGGTAGCCGGCCACCTATCAAGATTGGAACGGGATGAACCTGAGATGTTAGTTGACATAAATGAAATCTTTCCAGATGAGCAAATTTTTGGAGTAGAAATAGTCCCATGGTACGCTGATATTGTTAACTACCTTGCTAAGTCCATCCCGCCACCAGAGTATTCTAGCCATCAAAGAAAGAAGTTCTTCGTAGAGCTGAAGTATTACTTTTGGGAGGATCCCATTCTCTACAGAAGAGGAGCAGATCAGATAATTAGAAGATGCATTCCTGAAGATGAAGTACCGAAGATTCTAGAACATTGTCACTCTTTTGCATATGCTGGGCATTTTGGAGCTTCAAAGATTGCTACAAAGATATTACAGTCGGGTTCTATTGGCCTATTTTATTTAGAGACACATTCGAGTATGTGAAGAGATGTGATAAATGCCAACGAATCGGAAATATCTCAAGAAGAAATGAGATGCCACTAAATTACATCTTCGAGGTTGAAATATTTGATGTATGGGGAATAGACTTCATGGGACCTTTTTCCCCATCGTACTTAAATCAATATATCTTGGTGGCCATTGACTATGTCTCTAAGTGGGTGGAAGCTGTTGCATTGCCTACTAACAACGCGAAAGTGGTGATAGAGTTCTTGAAGAAGTACATATTTACAAGATATGGTACACCGAGGGCGATAATAAGTGATGGGGGTAAACACTTCATAATTCGTCAATTAGAGCAGCTGTTAAACAAATATGAGGTGAAACATAAAGTAGCAGCTCCATATCATCCACAAACCAATGGGCAAGTTGAAGTTTCGAACAGGCAGTTGAAGAGAATAATAGAAGTTACAGTGAACTCATCTCGAAAAGATTGGTCTAAGAAGTTGGACGATGCACTGTGGGCTTACAGAATAGCGTTTAAGACACCAATAAGAATGTCTTTATACCGCCTGGTGTTTAGGAAAGCATGTCATCTACCATTGGAATTGGATCACTGAGCATATTGGGCTATGAAACAGTTGAATATGGATCTCAAGGCTGCCGGTGAAAAATGACTGCTACAACTTAATGAATTGGATGAGATGAGAATGAAAGCTTACGAGAACTCAAAGTTGATTAAGGAGCGCACCAAGAGATGGCATGATTTACACATTCAAAGTCGAGAGTTTGAAGTTGGCCAGAAAGTGTTATTGTACAATTCTAGACTCAAACTCTTCCCAGGAAAGCTAAGAACAAGGTGGTCGGGTCCCTATACCATAACTAAGGTGATGCAATATGGGGCTATTGAAGTGAGTCACTAGACCTAAGACACTTTCATCATCAATGGGCAAAGACTAAAACATTATTGGGGCTATAATTTCCCTAAGCAAAAGTCCATTGTGCAACGCAACAACCCAACGTGAAGAAGATACAGGAAAGTCGAGCTATCGACTATAAACTAGCGCTAGGTGGGAGGCAACCCACTGTATTCTTCAATTTATTTTATTGCATTTGTTTAGGAATTTGTTTACATTTCGTATGTTTTATTAGGTCATCGATCATTCACGCATGATAGTCTAGGCACTACACGTTTATAGTTGCATGAGTCGGGGTTAAAGAAAGTGTTTTGGGTGTTTGAGTGTGAAGTAAAGTATTTCGTGGTTCAAAGTCGTTCGTTTTATTTTTCGAGATATTTTTCAAAAAAAAATTGCTTTGTGCATGCGGTCACATGGACCCTTACCGAACAAATTTTGGGGCAAACCAAGTACACCATGCGGCCGCATGGTGTCTAAGTGACGGCTTTTAAACCTGTCACTTGCAAATCCACCCCATTTCTCCCTAAAACACCTCCACACGAACACACCACTTCTCCCTTCCCCCAATCCATCTTCACACATAATAAATCACCAACACACATAACATATTTACCCTAACCCTACATTATTCCCAACATTGGCATTGTTATCAAGAATTTGAAGCATAACCATCTACTTTCCTTTCACAAAAACTCTAAAGGTAAGAAATTTAATCTCTATGCAAAGTTTAAAGCTATTCTTTGATTTCATGGCATTTTCGAATTGGGTAAGTGTTGAATTGTAATTTGTAGACTAGCCCTAAGTGTAAATCAAAACAAAGTGAAGGAAATTCCCAATGCACACAACGTGTTCGATTAAATGTCAATGAGACATATGATTCGAAATTTTGAACTTTTCATTTGTGTGATGATTTACATTGTTAATGTGAGGCGTACTAGACGAGAAATCTCATGGAATTTCATTAGAAAACATTAGCCTCACATATTTGTGCACATAAACACATAATTGCTAAGCCATATTAACTCACATCACTAACTTCGTCCATGTATTTTTTTTACCAAACGACCTCCGATTGTACTGAAATTTGGATATATGCTAGACCACAATGAGTACTTTCATGTGTTCAGACATTGTCTTGGGAAATTTTAATATTTCTCGATGATGCTTGGGGTTGAAGACGGTCACTTAATCATGGGTCGATTTTTAAAAAAGTGCATGTTAGAGCCATAGTTTTGAGTTTTTCTCACTAATGCAATATTGATGTTACATTGAATTCCATGCGTTGAATATTGAACACATTTTGAAGAAAGTTTGGGGGATTCTTGCATGTCAATGATATTCTTTATCATTTTCTTATTCCAAGAACTTGATACACTTTGTTCCTTACTTTTGTAGGATGCCGCCAAAGAGAACATCAAAAGGTAAAGAAAAAGTCGGTTCTTCCTCCGGCACAGCCTTCACCAGAGAGCTAATAGGAGGTGTGCGAAGATTTCGAGATGTAGAAACATTAGCTCGATACGAGAACGTAGTACGCTATTGGGGCATGATACCAGAGAGACAGGTCCGATTAGATGATTTCCGTGGTTTTGAGTTGACAAATCTGATACAAATCTGTGGATGGGAGAAGATTATAGAAAAGCCATACCTGGTTTATGAAAGTATAGTCCACGAATTTTATGTAAACTTCAATAGTGAAATTGAGACTCTGGATTCTGAACACTTATACCAGACGTGGGTGCGAGGTAAGTGGATAATGTTCTCCCCAGCCGTCATTCATGATTTCTACAATCTTAATTTGGACAATGTGGTCCCGATTCCCACTCAATTCAATTGGAATGAAGTGGTGGAGGTTCTCTTGGGAAGAGAAAATACTTGGCCCCTACGCACAGTAGAGTGGCATTAAATTGAGCTTACTCCCTCCATAGCCATCCTCTGGGTCTTCATGGGCCATAACATCAAACCCACATCACATCGACAACTTTCATAGATCAAACTACTGGGTTCATATATCATTTAGTCCAGGGATGCAAAGTTGATTTGGCTACTCTTATCTATGATCAGATACAAAATTTGGGGACCTGGGGAGATAGGCAGTCTTCGATGATCTTCTCTAGTCTGATTAGCGGAATATGTCTTGTCGTTGGTGTTACAATTGAGGTAGGGAAGATGCCTGAGAAATCAAGCCCATTGATAAAGCTCACTATATTTGAAGCTCAGGAAAGAGCTAAGGTAAGGAAGAGAGAACAAGACAGACTTGAGCAGCAAAGACATAATGCACAGGAAGAAGGACAAGCAGCTGAAGATTTACACTTACCACAAGCCCCGCCACAACCAGTTGAGATGGATTCACAGCTACTTCGACAGATATTTGCCACAGCCACTAGAACTAGTAGGGATATACAAAATCTCCAGCAGAGGTTCGAGACGATGACCACCACTGTTGAAAAAGAGCAGAGAGACCTCTACTCCTCCCGAGACTACACAAAAGGTGCTATGAATGAAGCCACAGCTGCAAGAAGAGAAGTAGAGACTATGAATGGTAGGTTCAACATGTACGCTGGGAGAATGGATGGCATACAGTGGCGTGTGAACAAAACTTGGGATCGCTTAGGAAATATGGAAAGTAGTCTTCAAGCCATTCAGCCTGGGCAAGCACAGCAGTTCGAGTTGCTGAGACAAGTCCTATCTCGCCTCCCACCTCCTCCTGAAGATGATGCTGCGAGTCCCAACTTCACACCACAGCCACCGAATTGATCAGGGGAGTTTTGTTAATCTCTTATTGCCAAGTTGCGTCCATGTTTTAAATTCTGTCATTCTAACTTTACATTTGGTAGCATAATTTCAAACAAATATTCGGCATGTAATTATTTTGCATACTCACAATCCATCGTTAATTTTGACAAGTTTTTGCATGACGCATACTTGATGAGTGAGTCTTGATGAACTTTTGCATGCTTGTGTGGATTTGGTAGCCTTACCAGATATAATGTGATTATTGGACGTGTATAAGCTAGAAACTGTGGATTTAGTACAGGATTTAATTGGCTAATACTTGTTGCTGCATTGCTTGACATTCTTTTGCACGCCACTCATACTTCACGTGTTAAGTTATTGATTGGAATTTTAGAATAAATTAGGAGAAATCTAGAATAACCCTCTATAACATTAACCCGTAATACCAGTTTAAGATAGTTTGGAGATGATTGAACCATTGTAGGGAAACATGGAGATAAGTGGGGGCTTCGTGCATGAAATTATAACGTGTGGATTGTTTAAACCCGGAAGGTGAGAAATAGGTGAAAGCTTTAAGTGAGGATGGTTTTGGAAGTCAAATGTCTAGAAAAACAAGGAAAGGGCATAAAGTAAAAAGTGGAAAATTATCACTTCTCTCAAAAAGTCTTTATGACTCGAGCAAGTAAGTCTATAAGGGTTTAAAACCTGATGCCTTAATGCCAACTGGTTTGGGAGTCATCGGCCTAAAGCTCGTTATAAGGGTCATATAGAAAGCAAGAAAAAGGAGAAATTGATAAAAAGTCATCTTATCGAGCCTTTATAACTCGAGTGAATAAGACTGCAAGGGTTTAAAACCTGGTGTCCTAAAACCAACTGGTTTGAGAGTCATCGCCTAAAGCTCGTTACATGGGTTATATAGAAAGCAAATGAGAAGATGACACAAAAAAAAATAAAAAAATAAAAAAATATAAAAGCCCTCGTTGGACATTCGGTTGATAGAACTATAACCTCAATGCGAGCCAAGTAGCTTAGCTTAATCCTAAAGGTTGAAGCAATCAAAATAAGGAGAGTCTCTACTTGTTGATATGTGAACTTGTAATGGTAAAATCTATCCAAACTAAAAGAGGGTAAGGATTAGAATTGTTTAAACTCTTAACCTTAGAATACACCCCGGAGAAATTGTGTGAAAAGAATACATTTGGGGATTGTGTATCTCTTGAGTGACGTAAGGATAAATTTGACCACTATGGGTCGGGAATAAACTAATCATAAGCTTGATATGTTGGCATGAGTTCACACACACACGTTGAGTATTGCATTTGATGAGTAAAGGTTGATTCAATTCTCGTACTCTTGATATTGTTGCTATTATTATTACTAAGTCCAATTCTGAGATACGGCAAGCTATTAAGCCATGTTTGTTTAGCATTAAGTCACTACATTGTTTGAGGACAAACAATAGTTTAAGTTTGGGGGATTTTATAAGTGTGTTTTTACACACTTATTAAGCTCACAAACATGACTTAAACATGAACAAAGTAGTTGAATTATGACGAAATCTCGTTAAATTCATGCAATGTAGGTGTTTCTATGGAAAAGATGAAATTCAGAAGAAGAGAGCCGAAAAAGGACCAAAGCGGAACAAAGCGATAGTTCGGGGACCAAAGGTGCAAATATTGGGAAGTTGAGCTAAAGTGCAAAACGAGAATGAAAATATGTCAAGTATGAGATTGAGGACGATACAAGACGATCGGAGGAAGAAAGAAGTAACATTGGACTGAATTGAAGAAAAGTGAAAGACGAAGGACTGAATTACAATTAATCAAAAGATGAGCCGAGCAAGTGATCAAGGAATTGATTGACCCAAACATCAATTAGAAGTTAATATTTGATAATGCAACAAAGGAAAGAAAGAAAAGAGATCAAGAAAAGAGAAAACGGAGTTCAGGGACCAAAATAGCAAGGTTGTA